TTATAATGAGATCTGTTTAACAGATCTCTAACCCTGTCCATGGAGGACAGAAGAAAATGTATATATGCTGGTTAGCATTGTAAATGTCTGGCCACGTCTGTGGTAGAGAGAGAGAGAGAGAGAGAGAGAGAGAGAGAGAGAGAGAGAGAGAGAGAGAGAGAGAGAGAGAGAGAAGAAAAACACTCTCCGGCGCTCAATAATCCTTGTAAGACAATTGCAATACCCACATCCGCAGCCCCCCACTTACACACACCACTGTGGCTCTCAACCACCACAACACTACCACCTCCCTCACACTCAACACTCTGGCTATTACCCCCCCCCCCCAACCTCCGGATGTAAGGACGGACATAGGCAGCTCCTCACGCTACCGCACAAAGACACCGCCAAGGAGAAGGGCTCCGCGGGACAAAGACACTATATTGTAATTAGATGCGTCTCTAAACGTCTGAAAGCTTGAGGGGTTTCCATTGGTGGTTCGGGGGGGGGGGGGGGGCACCAAGTGGTCTTCAGAGGCTGCGGTTCTCAGAGCAGACCTGCTGTGTCGGCTGCTCTAGTGTGGTTATGGTCGCTCTGCTCAGCCCACCACACCCACATCAACTATTATTCCCGTATTACTCAAGTACAGACAAATGTAACGCCAGTCAACGGTGTAATACAGTAGTCTGAACCTCCAGTGAGTAATCACCATCTTTGTGAGTAATCCAGTAGGCTGAACCTCCAGTCTATCACCATCTTTGTGAGTAATCTAGTAGCCTGAACGTCCAGTCTATCACCATCTGTGTGAGTAATCCAGTAGCCTGAACGTCCAGTCTATCACCATCTGTGTGAGTAATCCAGTAGCCTGAACGTCTAGTCTATCACCATCTGTGTGAGTAATCCAGTAGCCTGAACCTCCAGTCTATCACCATCTCTGCCTCACGGACATCTCTTAATCTCTACAGGAGGTGACCACAGGAGCAGAAGGCTTGTCTTTGTCAGCAAGCTTCCACCTATCCCTTCCCACAGCTCATCTTAAACCTTGCCCTACTAGTCGTCTCTGGGACTCGACCCGCCAATCGATTTACAACCAGGTCCTAACAGTTAAGGATTGGTTCCCAGTGAGCCCTCCCTGCCCAGAGCTCGAACTCAGCCGAAATAGCAGGCGAGGTGCAGGGCCAGTGTGGTACCACTGCGCTGCACGGACATACTGTATCAGTGACATAATTCTGGGTTTAACTTGGGTGGCCCAAGTTCGAGCCCCTGACGCCCTGGTGAGGTAACAGCAGAGAAGTAATTGGACAATTAACGTCACTTGATGACATGAAAGCTGTTGGAGCGGACATTTACCGTGCATAACACAAGCTGTACAGCCCCTCAGTATACCTCTGGTTCTGGCCTTTAATGATTGACTAGTGAAGGGAGAGCTGCCCAGCAGCTGGAAGATGGTAACTGTGTCACCAATATAAAAGAAATAGGATAAGGATGAGGGATAGGATGATGAACGTAACCTAACTACAGAGCTGTGTCACTGAGCCTCATACTAAGGACCACCTCAGCTCTACAAACCAGCGGATACACTCTGACCCTTACCTAACCTTACCTCAAAACACCAATGGTAATTTCTGTACCCGGAAACAAATACAAAGAACACATTTAAAAAGGTCATTCAGTGGAAAAGACAAAAAGCTAAAATCGGCGAATGGCGACATGACAATGGTTCACCTTCCCAGGTGGCCGCCGCTGGTGGTGGTGGCGGCCAGTCTCCCCCCTGGAGGAGCGGCCAGTCTTCCCCCCTGGAGGAGCGGCCAGTCTTCCCCCCTGGAGGAGCGGCCAGTCTTCCCCCCTGGAGGAGCGGCCAGTCTTCCCCCCTGGAGGAGCGGCCAGTCTTCCCCCCTGGAGGAGCGGCCAGTCTTCCCCCCTGGAGGAGCGGCCAGTCTTCCCCCCTGGAGGAGCGGCCAGTCTTCCCCCCTGGAGGAGCGGCCAGTCTTCCCCCCTGGAGGAGCGGCCAGTCTTCCCCCCTGGAGGAGCGGCCAGTCTTCCCCCCTGGAGGAGCGGCCAGTCTTCCCCCCTGGAGGAGCGGCCAGTCTTCCCCCCTGGAGGAGCGGCCAGTCTTCCCCCCTGGAGGAGCGGCCAGTCTTCCCCCCTGGAGGAGCGGCCAGTCTTCCCCCCTGGAGGAGCGGCCAGTCTTCCCCCCTGGAGGAGCGGCCAGTCTTCCCCCCTGGAGGAGCGGCCAGTCTTCCCCCCTGGAGGAGCGGCCAGTCTTCCCCCCTGGAGGAGCGGCCAGTCTTCCCCCCTGGAAGAGCGGCCAGTCTTCCCCCCTGGAGGAGCGGCCAGTCTTCCCCCCTGGAGGAGCGGCCAGTCTTCCCCCCTGGAGGAGCGGCCAGTCTTCCCCCCTGGAGGAGCGGCCAGGCTTCCCCCCGGGAGGAGCGGCCAGTCTTCCCCCCTGGAGGAGCGGCCAGTCTTCCCCCTGGAGGAGCGGCCAGTCTTCCCCCCTGGAGGAGCGGCCAGTCTTCCCCCCTGGAGGAGCGGCCAGTCTTCCCCCCTGGAGGAGCGGCCAGTCTTCCCCCCTGGAGGAGCGGCCAGTCTTCCCCCCTGGAGGAGCGGCCAGTCTTCCCCCCTGGAGGAGCGGCCAGTCTTCCCCCCTGGAGGAGCGGCCAGTCTTCCCCCCTGGAGGAGCGGCCAGTCTTCCCCCCTGGAGGAGCGGCCAGTCTTCCCCCCTGGAGGAGCGGCCAGTCTTCCCCCCTGGAGGAGCGGCCAGTCTTCCCCCCTGGAGGAGCGGCCAGTCTTCCCCCCTGGAGGAGCGGCCAGTCTTCCCCCCTGGAGGAGCGGCCAGTCTTCCCCTCTGGAGGAGCGGCCAGTCTTCCCCCCTGGAGGAGCGGCCAGTCTTCCCCCCTGGAGGAGCGGCCAGTCTTCCCCCCTGGAGGAGCGGCCAGTCTTCCCCCCTGGAGGAGCGGCCAGTCTTCCCCCCTGGAGGAGCGGCCAGTCTTCCCCCCTGGAGGAGCGGCCAGTCTTCCCCCCTGGAGGAGCGGCCAGTCTTCCCCCCTGGAGGAGCGGCCAGTCTTCCCCCCTGGAGGAGCGGCCAGTCTTCCCCCCTGGAGGAGCGGCCAGTCTTCCCCCCTGGAGGAGCGGCCAGTCTTCCCCCCTGGAGGAGCGGCCAGTCTTCCCCCCTGGAGGAGCGGCCAGTCTTCCCCCCTGGAGGAGCGGCCAGTCTTCCCCCCTGGAGGAGCGGCCAGTCTTCCCCCTGGAGGAGCGGCCAGTCTTCCCCCCTGGAGGAGCGGCCAGTCTTCCCCCCTGGAGGAGCGGCCAGTCTTCCCCCTGGAGGAGCGGCCAGTCTTCCCCCCTGGAGGAGCGGCCAGTCTTCCCCCCTGGAGGAGCGGCCAGTCTTCCCCCCTGGAGGAGCGGCCAGTCTTCCCCCCTGGAGGAGCGGCCAGTCTTCCCCCCTGGAGGAGCGGCCAGTCTTCCCCCTGGAGGAGCGGCCAGTCTTCCCCCCTGGAGGAGCGGCCAGTCTTCCCCCCTGGAGGAGCGGCCAGTCTTCCCCCCTGGAGGAGCGGCCAGTCTTCCCCCTGGAGGAGCGGCCAGTCTTCCCCCCTGGAGGAGCGGCCAGTCTTCCCCCCTGGAGGAGCGGCCAGTCTTCCCCCTGGAGGAGCCCAGTCTTCCCCCCTGGAGGAGCGGCCAGTCTTCCCCCCTGGAGGAGGAGCGGCCAGTCTTCCCCCTGGAGGAGCGGCCAGTCTTCCCCCTGGAGGAGCGGCCAGTCTTCCCCCTGGAGGAGCGGCCAGTCTTCCCCCTGGAGGAGCGGCCAGTCTTCCCCCCTGGAGGAGCGGCCAGTCTTCCCCCCTGGAGGAGCGGTCTTCCCCCCTGGAGGAGCGGCCAGTCTTCCCCCTGGAGGAGCGGCCAGTCTTCCCCCTGGAGGAGCGGCCAGTCTTCCCCCTGGAGGAGCGGCCAGTCTTCCCCCCTGGAGGAGCGGCCAGTCTTCCCCCCTGGAGGAGCGGCCAGTCTACCCCCTGGAGGAGCGGCCAGTCTTCCCCCTGGAGGAGCGGCCAGTCCCCCTGGAGGAGCGGCCAGTCTTCCCCCCTGGAGGAGCGGCCAGTCTTCCCCCTGGAGGAGCGGCCAGTCTTCCCCCTGGAGGAGCGGCCAGTCTTCCCCCTGGAGGAGCGGCCAGTCTTCCCCCTGGAGGAGCGGCCAGTCTTCCCCCTGGAGGAGCGGCCAGTCTTCCCCCTGGAGGAGCGGCCAGTCTTCCCCCTGGAGGAGCGGCCAGTCTTCCCCCTGGAGGAGCGGCCAGTCTTCCCCCTGGAGGAGCGGCCAGTCTTCCCCCTGGAGGAGCGGCCAGTCTTCCCCCTGGAGGAGCGGCCAGTCTTCCCCCTGGAGGAGCGGCCAGTCTTCCCCCCTGGAGGAGCGGCCAGTCTTCCCCCTGGAGGAGCGGCCAGTCTTCCCCCTGGAGGAGCGGCCAGGCTCAACACACTCGTAAGTCTCTCAACAGCTTCCTCCGCGACGTTGTACCAGGAACGTGCTAGGGACTGCTGGCTGCTGCCTCCCCCTGCCCCCTGAGAGTGCCGGCTACCGTCCCTCTGCCCCTCCCGACACTCAATGTCCGCCACTCATCACCAGGAAAATGATAGGGTGGATTATGAGAACCTTCAATTCCAAGGATGCCTCTACAATGTTACTTCCTCTCAACACCTGGTCCTTTCCCGCCTTGAGTGCTGCTCCGTACTCACTTCCCCCTTCAGAGCGGGAGAGATCTCTGAAGTAGGAGGAATACAGAGCTTAAAGGCACGTACATACACGGTAAAACACCCAGCTTATTTGGGTCGCCTTAAAGCACTTAAACTGTACTCTCTGGAAAGGAGACAAGATATATAATGTAAACATTGAAGATACTGGACGACCAGGTCCCAAATGCGCATAACAAAATAACAACTTACTGGAGAGAAAATGACAGCAAATCCAGAAAGAGAGTGAGTGAGGAGCAGAGGTGCCAGCCCATAAACAGTCCAGAAGTCCATAAACAGTCCGAGAACATGAACATCAGCGCTCCCCGGCTCCTCAACATCCTCCCACCAAATCTAAGAAATACTGCCGGAACAAATGTGAACGTGTTCAACAGACCATCGGACAAGTTCCTGCAGGAAGTGCCACACCAGCCGGGAGGTAATGGATATGTCCACGCGTCTTGTACTCTGTAATCTCTTGTAAGTTTATACAATACCTGTGGAGGTATTGTGGTGGTTGTGTGGTGGTTGGTGTGGTGGTCGGTGTGGTGTGGTGGTGGCGTGATGAGGGGTGGTGCTTCGGGAGTGGTGTTGTGTGGTTGTTACAGTGTGGTTGTGGTGTTGTGGTGTTGATTGTGTGTTATGAAAACAATTAGGCTAAACAACACACAACTCTGTGATTTAGTTGAGTCATTCACAAACCTGGTTTAGAGATATTCATCAGAGGCAGACAATTAATTCTCACGCCATATTATGAGGAAATTACACAAGTAAAACTAATAAAATTACGTTAAAGAAAATGTTATAGGGTCTGGTTCTAAGATATCCACTGCACCAATTTCTATAAAACTCACTAATTGCTGTAACAATAAATATAAACGCATTTGTCTATAGGGAAGAAAAGAAAATGCCAAGATAATATTTTGCGTGTGTGCGCGCTCACCTAATTGTACCTGCAGGATCGAGCATTAGCTCTTAGACCCCGCCCATCTACCCGCGCCTGTCTAATGGAATGACTCCTGGCCTATTTTCCTATCATATCTACTCACAATTCATAACATTATGAATAGACTTTGATTCCACAACTTACTCCTATAATTCATTCTATTTCGCCGCTATTCTTACACAAAAAGAAAGCTTCCTTACACCTCTATGACTCGTCTGAGACCCAAGCTTCCGCCCATACCCTCTTGTGCGTGCTATTGGGATTCCTTACGAACATTTCCCTCCTTTTATTATTTTAATCTGTCAATACCCAAGAACAAGTACTTACGAACCTGTACGTCTTTCCTCAATCTTTGACGGCTTTGGTTACATTTATTAAACAGTTTACAAGCATGAAAACTTCTCAATCAAGTATTGTTATTGCTATAAACAGCCTCTTGGTGCTTCGGAGCTCATTAACTGTTTTAATAAGTGTAAACAAAGCTGCCAAAAATTGAGAAAAGATAAGACATGTTCTTACGTGCTTGCGTAACTGCTTCGTGAATATGGCCCCCTGTGCTGTCTCCGCGCGCCCTTCCCTAATGCCTGGGGTTAACATCTACCGCCCAGTACCCCCCCTCTACAATCAACCACCCAGCACCCCCACTACAATCAACCACCCAGCACCCCCCCCCCTACAATCAACCACCCAGCACCCCCCCCCCCCCCCACTCTGGACGACAACCTCTCCCCGCCTTGTTTCACCCCCACAATTTCCGTTGCCAGAAAGTGGAACACAACACGAAGCAGTTTGCTCCACAACTCCATTTTCTAGTCAAATTACAAGCAATGGAGCGGATTTGGTCACCTGGGGCAGAATATGTTCTCTGTAGGTGTTAACCTGGCGACGGTGTGGGGCCCCTAGAGTTAACCTGGCGACGGTGTGGGGCCCCTAGAGTTAACCTGGCGACGGTGTGGGGCCCCTAGTGTTAACCTGGCGACGGTGTGGGGCCCCTAGAGTTAACCTGGCGACGGTGTGGGGCCCCTAGTGTTAACCTGGCGACGGTGTGGGGCCCCTAGAGTTAACCTGGCGACGGTGTGGGGCCCCTAGTGTTAACCTGGCGACGGTGTGGGGCCCCTAGAGTTAACCTGGCGACGGTGTGGGGCCCCTAGTGTTAACCTGGCGACGGTGTGGGGCCCCTAGAGTTAACCTGGCGACGGTGTGGGGCCCCTAGTGTTAACCTGGCGACGGTGTGGGGCCCCTAGTGTTAACCTGGCGACGGTGAGGGCCCCTAGTGTTAACCTGGCGACGGTGTGGGGCCCCTAGTGTTAACCTGGCGACGGTGTGGGGCCCCTAGTGTTAACCTGGCGACGGTGAGGGCCCCTAGTGTTAACCTGGCGACGGTGTGGGGCCCCTAGTGTTAACCTGGCGACGGTGTGGGGCCCCTAGTGTTAACCTGGCGACGGTGAGGGCCCCTAGTGTTAACCTGGCGACGGTGTGGGGCCCCTAGTGTTAACCTGGCGACGGTGTGGGGCCCCTAGTGTTAACCTGGCGACGGTGAGGGCCCCTAGTGTTAACCTGGCGACGGTGTGGGGCCCCTAGTGTTAACCTGGCGACGGTGTGGGGCCCCTAGTGTTAACCTGGCGACGGTGAGGGCCCCTAGTGTTAACCTGGCGACGGTGTGGGGCCCCTAGTGTTAACCTGGCGACGGTGTGGGGCCCCTAGTGTTAACCTGGCGACGGTGAGGGCCCCTAGTGTTAACCTGGCGACGGTGTGGGGTGAGGGCCCCTAGTGTTAACCTGGCGACGGTGTGGGGCCCCTAGTGTTAACCTGGCGACGGTGAGGGCCCCTAGTGTTAACCTGGCGACGGTGTGGGGCCCCTAGTGTTAACCTGGCGACGGTGTGGGGCCCCTAGTGTTAACCTGGCGACGGTGAGGGCCCCTAGTGTTAACCTGGCGACGGTGTGGGGCCCCTAGTGTTAACCTGGCGACGGTGGCGACGGTGGGGCCCCTAGTGTTAACCTGGCGACGGTGAGGGCCCCTAGTGTTAACCTGGCGACGGGTAGTGTGGGGCCCCTAGTGTTAACCTGGCGACGGTGCGGGCCCCTAGTGTTAACCTGGCGACGGTGCGGGCCCCTAGTGTTAACCTGGCGACGGTGCGGGCCCCTAGTGTTAACTTGGCGACGGTGCGGGCCCCTAGTGTTAACCTGGCGACGGTGCGGGCCCCTAGTGTTAACCTGGCGACGGTGCGGGCCCCTAGTGTTAACTTGGCGACGGTGCGGGCCCCTAGTGTTAACTTGGCGACGGTGAGGGCCCCTAGTGTTAACCTGGCGACGGTGCGGGCCCCTAGAGTTAACCTGGCGACGGTGAGGGCCCCTAGTGTTAACCTGGCGACGGTGCGGGCCCCTAGTGTTAACCTGGCGACGGTGCGGGCCCCTAGTGTTAACCTGGCGACGGTGCGGGCCCCTAGTGTTAACCTGGCGACGGTGCGGGCCCCTAGTGTTAACTTGGCGACGGTGCGGGCCCCTAGTGTTAACTTGGCGACGGTGTGGGGCCCTAGTGTTAACTTGGCGACGGTGCGGGCCCCTCACAGTGTTCAAGTTCTCTCTTGAACACTGTGAGGGGTCGGTAAGTTATGCCCCTTATGTGTAGTGGAAGTGTGTTGAACAGTCTCGGGCCTCTGATGTTGATAGTTCTCTCTTGAACACTGTGAGGGGTCGGTCAGTTATGTCCCTTATGTGTAGTGGAAGCGTGTTGAACAGTCTCGGGCCTCTGATGTTGATAGTTCTCTCTTGATCACTGTGAGGGGTCGGCCAGTTATGCCCCTTATGTGTAGTGGAAGCGTGTTGAACAGTCTCGGGCCTCTGATGTTGATAGTTCTCTCTTGATCACTGTGAGGGGTCGGCCAGTTATGTCCCTTATGTGTAGTGGAAGCGTGTTGAACAGTCTCGGGCCTCTGATGTTGATAGTTCTCTCTTGATCACTGTGAGGGGTCGGCCAGTTATGCCCCTTATGTGTAGTGGAAGCGTGTTGAACAGTCTCGGGCCTCTGATGTTGATAGTTCTCTCTCAGAGTACCTGTTGCACCTCTGCTCTTCAACGGGGGTATTCTGCACATCCTGCCATGCCTTCTGGTCTCATGTGGTGTTATTTCTGTGTGCAGGTTTGGAACGAGGTCCTGTAATATTTTTTCGAATATAATTTATTATGTATTTATGGCGGGCGGGTGTAGCATGAGGGTGTAGCGTGAGGGTGCGTGGCTGGCGGGTGTAGCGTGAGGGTGCGGGCGGGTGTAGCGTGAGGGTGCGTGGCGGGTGTAGCGTGAGGGTGTAGCGTATGTAGGGTGCGTGGCTGGCGGGTGTAGCGTGAGGGTGCGTGGCTGGCGGGTGTAGCATGAGGGTGCGTGGCTGGCGGGTGTAGCGTGAGGGTGCGTGGCTGGCGGGTGTAGCGTGAGGGTGCGGGGCGGGTGTAGCGTGAGGGTGCGGGGCGGGTGTAGCGGGTACACAGCAGCTGTCCTGCACAGTTGTCATGTGGTTCCCGACAGTAAATCAGGTGTATTTGTTTACCTTGGGCTTGCGGGGAGACCATTACAGCAGCAGCAGTGTGTGGCGAGCGCTGCCACCTCCCTCACGCCCCCCACCACCACTACACTTGTTAAGGACGGGACTATGATCTGCCTAGCTGTTGTTTGTTCCGGGGATCAATGTCCCCGCGGTCTAGTTTCTGACCAGGCCTTCTAGTTGATGGTTTGGTCAACCAGGCTGTAGGACGCCGCTGTGTGCAGTCTGAGTTATGAATCACAGCTTTCAATTATCACCATAATCTAGGCCTGGATTCGTCATTTATCAAGGTCTCTATTGAACACCGCGAGAGGCCGACTAGTTATACACTTTACGTTTAGAGGGAGTGTTGGACAGCCTTCGCCCTGTAATGGTGATAAGAGTTCTCTCTGAGCGTACCTATTGCACCTCGGCTCTTTATCGGGGCTATTTTGCACATCCTGCCATGCCTCCTGGTCTCTTGCTTATTCCCGTGTGCAAATCTGAAAGTTGTCCTTATAATATTTTAGAAGTGTAAATTGGCATGAATCTCTCGCTTGCGCTCTAGACAGTGTAGTTTGAGAAATATTAAATATCCCTTATAATTTATATATCTTATTCAGTGGATTCCAGGAGTAAAAGGCCTATGCACGCTCTCCAGGTCAGCAATGTCTCCATCTTTGAATGCAACAATAATTCACCCTACAGATCATCAGCGTCTTGAAAAGTATCATCATTAGTGTGGCATCCCTTGTGTGGAAAGTCTTTTTAATCCAAGCTGTTATTTTTCTTGCAGTTGTGACACCTACTTTATTTTCTTTAGAAGCAAGGTCTTCAGACATGATGACTTCCAAATCTTTTATATTGCTGTTCTTTCAATAATGTGATTTGACTGCGTTTTATGTGTGGTTTAAATTCTGATATTTTCCTGTTTAAGATAACGCAGGAGCTGAGACTTCTCTTCGTTATCATGCTTTCTGTGGCCCGTTGAAAACCCTGATTAAAATCAGTCTGAAGGTTTGCCGCGTCCTCTATATTGTTTCCTCACATGAAAATCCTAGTGCCAACTGCAAAGGATGATACGGTACTATAGTTTGTGTCCTTGTCTATGTCCAATATGAGGATGAGAAAAAGTACTGGGGAACAATTACGCTCTGGGTGCTGTTCCTTACGTAGTTAAAGATCTATCTCCATACTCTGCCATTAACTCCTTTTGAGTACAATAACACCATGGTCAGTTGTCCCAGGCTTTCGAGAAATCGGTGTATATTACATGAGCGTTTCGCTTGTTTTCCATGGCACCTTAGGGACATGTCAGTGATCTAGCAAAAATGTAAGAGGCGCAGGAGTGCCCTGTTCTGAACCCATGTTGTCCAGGGTAATATAGAGGTGTGACACCATCAGTTTGTGATCTTGCTTCCTAGTACTGAAGTGGCGCGATCTCCGCTTTCATAAGTGTGTCGGGGAAAACACCAGTACCTAAGCTCAGTCTCCATATGATGTTTATTGATTGTGATAAGGGATTTTTTGCAATTATTGATGCATATATATAATTCCAGGAATCTAGGCCTGGTGCAAAGTGCCCAGGCAAACTATCTTTGGTTACTTCATAGTCCGGTGAGTTTAATGTGACGTGTGACTCCATGTTGGGATCACATTCATGAAGAATTCGTTTAGATTATTGATCTTCAGTGTGTTTCGGGGCTCATTGAAAACAGTCGTACTGTAGCCTCATTATTTCACTTATTTCTTCGTTGAAAGTTCCTTCAGCAATGCGTTTGGGCACAAACTAGGTGTTGCCCTTGGTTGGTCAACGAGGGCAACATGGTGGTCAAGAAGGGCACTATGGTGGTCAAGTACTTGACAATGATACAAATTTAGCATATTGATAACGGAGGGCAGTGTGAGGAGCGTGGAGTGGCGGGGCAAGGAGAAGCAAGGTGTGAGGCAGGTGGGCGAGGCCGGCCATCTGAGGCAGGTGGGCAAGGAAGCAGCGCCCGAGCAACCTGTCCTCCTACAAAGACCGTCGCTTGTCGCTCGTATACGCCACATAACGCCCCAAAAATTGTCGTACTAGAAAACGGAAGCAGCTTGCTAAAGTGACACTGTCCCGTTTTCTATTTTGGGTCCTCAGGTAAGTTGGGAGAGGACACTTTAATTTGACCGTTTTCATGACGTTGAGAAACCTTAGGAGGAGGAGCTGGGTGGAGGCCTCGCTACCCCAGGTGTAGACACCAGGTGAGCAGCTCATCACCAGCACATTAGTAACTCCACCACACCGCGGCTCCTCAACCACCACCAGCCAACAACGCCGCCCCTCCAACACACTTCCTCTTAACTGTACACAAAACCACTCCCAAAACTGAAGAAGTGGCACTATTGGCCCCTAGCTACAATGACAAGCCAACACAAGCGGCAGTTCAACCCGTCCTCTCGAAAAGTACATCATATTTTGACGTATAAATCCCCCAACGTCACAATATGATGTATTATATATGACAGCAGATCGGTAAATTGGCGAGCTGTCTCGTTTTATACTCGTGGGTCCTCGGTTAGGTTAAGCAGTTTAATACATCAGTTTAGTGACGCCGGGGGAGCCGGTCGGCCGAGCGGACAGCACACTGGACTTGTGATCCTGTGGTCCCGGTTTCGATCCCGGGCGCCGGCGAGAAACAATGGGTAGAGTTTCTTTTACCCTATGCCCCTGTCACCTAGCAGTAAAATAGGTACCTGGGTGTTAGTCAGCTGTCACGGGCTGCTTCCTGGGGGTGGAGGCGTGGTCGAGGACCGGGCCGCGGGGACACTAAAAAGCCCCGAAATCATCTCAAGATAACCTCAAGATAAGATAGTGACGTTGTGACAGCTGGAGAGGACGGGCTGAACATTGACTGGTAGCTGTGGTTGGCGCAATTGGCTCGTAACCGAATAGTTGTGAGCCAATAGTGACGACTGACCAGGTGTACTTACACCTGATTAATACCTTTTCACCTAGCAGTAAATAGGTACCTTGGAGCTGGGCAAATGTCGCGGGGTGTGCCCTGGTGAAGGTCAGTCGCTGGCCTGGAGGGGACCTGGACACAGGGTCGTGTCCCCGACACCCGGGAACCATGCCGACATCACCCGTCATTACAAGTATATTACGACCCCAGCAGAAGAAGTGAAGGCGGCTATGCCCTTGGTGACGTGGGAGTGGACAGCCTCATTACAGGTAACGCAAGCCATGTAAACACGGCGAGAGCAGCACAAGGTGACTGCAGGCAGAAAGCCAGCCGGGGACATAGCACGGAGCGCGCTCCACAACGGCACCAAAACGGTGTATCTATGAGGTCAGGTTGGGCCAGGTCTGTACACATGGTGACGACTGAGGCTGGGTCAGGTCCAGGCGCATGGTGGCGACCCGGGTCGACTGAGAGTCGCAGGTGACGAGGGACTCCTGAGCCTGGCAGGCGGTGGACGCGACCAACAAGTGGCAGGGGAAGTGTTTGGAGGCTCCTGGCAACGGGTGCTACACCCAGAACACGCAGGAGGCTCCTGGCAACGGGTGCTACACCCAGGACACGCAGGAGGCTCCTGGCAACGGGTGCTACACCCAGAACACGCAGGAGGCTCCTGGCAACGGGTGATACACCCAGGACACGCAGGAGGCTCCTGGCAACGGGTGCTACACCCAGGACACACAGGAGGCTCCTGGCAACGGGTGCTACACCCAGGACACGCAGGAGGCTCCTGGCAACGGGTGCTACACCCAGGACACGCAGGAGGCTCCTGGCAACGGGTGCTACACCCAGGACACGCAGGAGGCTCCTGGCAACGGGTGCTACACCCAGGACACGCAGGAGGCTCCTGGCAACGGGTGCTACACCCAGGACACACAGGAGGCTCCTGGCAACGGGTGCCACACCCAGGACACACAGGAGGCTCCTGGCAACGGGTGCTACACCCAGGACACACAGGAGGCTCCTGGCAACGGGTGCTACACCCAGGACACACAGGAGGCTCCTGGCAACGGGTGCTACACCCAGGACACGCAGGAGGCTC